GTTTCCTTCTTGCAATAAGATTTGTTGCGTTACTATAGTTCTGGGTGGTGTCGGTGTGGGTATGGGTGTGGGTATGGGTATGGGTGGGTGTGGATGTGGGTGTGGGTGGGGGTGGGGGTGGGGGTTGTGGATGTGGGCGGAGTGTGGGTGCTCGTGGCCATGGCCGTGGGGTGTCGGCTGTGGATATTCTCTTCGCAGACACCCACACGCCACTCACCCATACCCCACACCCACATCCACCCACACCCGACATCCCATGCACACCCACTCACGCGGACCCCCACACCGACCCACACCCACACCACACACCCACACCCACACCCCACACCCACACCTACACCCACAGCCCACACTCACACCCACACCGACACCACCCACCCACACCCCACCCACACCATTTAGCTTTGATTACCCCATCAACATATAAAAACAAGTTTCCTTCTTGCAATAAGATTTGTTGCGTTACTATAGTTCTGGGTGAATTGTCTTTGAGTAAAATTTTCAAGGGGGAAACGGCGGATTCTGGATTCCCAAGATTCCCAGGATTCCCACGGGATTTCCAGGATTCCCATGGGATTCCCAGGATTCCCACCAGATTCCCGAGATTCCCACCGGATTCCCGAGATTCCCACCGGATTCCCGAGATTTCCGGGATTCCCAAAGGATTCTCCAAAAAATTTCCGGAATTCCCACCATACTTGCGGGTTCCTCATTGTATCTGAAAATAACAGAAAATTATAAAACAATAAATCAGAAGATCCAACTTTCTTTAATTTACTGTTTTTATTAACATAACTCTTTTATTTCTTAATTTTGCGATTGACCAAAAGATGCAGGATTGTTGGCCACTACTTTCAGACAGTGTTTCTCCTCTTCGGCACGTAGAGCCCATCCTACTGCGAAGAGGTGGATGTGTATTCGGAAAACCCGCATCCTTATTTGTTCGCTATGCGTGGTTTTAATTTAAAAATTCAAAATGGATTGAAACAATTTAGACAAGTTTTATACGGAATACTCGTGCCTATTTATACCTATTTTTGCTTCGGATGATACTCGGTAAACCCGCATCCATACATTGATTTTTAGGCATTTTTCGGAAAACCCGTGCCTACTATTTTCTTTTCATGTGAAGCTCTTTCGGTAAACCCGTGTTCATTGCTCTATTTCTCTTTGATATTCATTACCATGAATTTGACAGGCAATTATAAGCCCTGAAAAATACCAGAGTCAATTTAAAAAAAACATCTACTGATATGTGAAGTGTAGATACATCTTGTAATAAGATTGGTATCAAGTCAACTGAGACATTAGAGAATTTTGGTTTTTTATCACATAGAGGAAAAGCGAACTATGAAATATCAATAAAAGAAACATGAAGCAATAAAAAATAGCAGAAGTTGATCATGTCAAAATATTCCTAAGTATTTCTTACAAGCTTTTTATTAATCTAAGAACTGCTTTGTTGAACTCGTCTAAGTCGATCAGCTGACAAACGATTATTAGTATCTGTTAAAAGCCAGCAGGCTGTCTGTTTGTGAATATTTTTTTTTTCCCATCAAGTTCAACACGAAAGTAGGACTTCGCAAGTGAGGAAGGAATAGTGTCGCACACTCTCATTCCATGAAACTGAGATTTACCACTAGCTGAAATTGAAGACACATTTTCAGTTTCATCATCACATGAACTATCATCATCTAAGTCCGCTGCAGTATTGATATCCGATCTGAATTTATAGCTTGATTCATCATTATCAGATAAATACGATTCATCATCATCGTAGGAGACCTTTTTAAATTTTCTATCAAACTGAGCTCGTACAAAGGAGCTCACTTGAAGCATTTCAGCTTTTTTTGCTTTCTTCAAAGCGATATGAACATCAAGCTTAGATAGTAGATCATAAGCATCATCATATGCTTGACAAATTGTTTTTTTAATATTATCACAAGTGAGAAGATGGATAGACGCACTCAGAACTACGTTTTTAGAAGCAGCACTTTGTCGACATCGCTTGTGATACTTAGGAAACTGTAAAGAACAGCTTAACTGACCAGATTCACTCTGATTTTGTATATCAGCAAGTACTGATAGTTTACCAGCTCGTTTAAGAAACTGTTCAGTAGTAAAATTAACTACTGTAGAAAAAACACCTGACATTGATCTTGAGTTACGAAAAGTTGCTTCGCAAGACTATGAGTGATAATTTGAAAACCTAAGAGCAGAAATGGGCAAATCTTGCTGATGCACAAGTAAACAAATTGTAACTAGGCTATGAGCATTCATTTCTATAGAAAAATGAGCAGGAACAGTAATAAATAAATTCTCTTTTGACATTTGAGAATGAGATTCTGAAATGTCTTCTTTATGTACTAAATGCAGCCACGTTTGCCATATACGGCATATAAAGACTGCTAGCCAACTATGATAGATGCGATCGATTATCGATGTATTATGGTCAATATAGGCGAGTGCTATACTACGCAAGAGGCGCAAATAAATTTGTGTGGCTAAAGAACCATCAATGTCTTCAAGAGCATTGATTACTTCCTCATTCAGAATCTTGAGGCAAGACTTATAGTTTTGCTTGTCGCTCGACTCTATATCAGTTTTTACAAGTCCATGTACAAACTTCGATTTAGTTTCTATAAGTTCATTCAGTACTTTAATGGAAACTTCTTCTTTCCCAATCAAAAGTGATGGGATTTCAGAAAGCATACGATTACGGAGTTTAGCACATAAATGTATGGAATCTTGAAAACAAAAAAAAAACTTGATGGGAAGGCATAAAAAACCATCCTGACCAATCCTTTGGTAAATGGATCTTTAACATATCGTTACGATTATACAACGGAGTATTAGTAAGTTTTGCAAAAAAACCTGTATTCAGACGCATTGCTAACAAGTATCTTGGACCGCAATCCGTAGAAAAAGCAACAATACGAACGTTTGACTCTTGAGACTTTTCAAAAATCCATATCCATTGATTAAGAATATCAATGGCTTTAAATTTGCTACTGATCCCATATGCGGCAAGCAGGAATGGTGAGGTATATGGTTTAGATTCAATGAGCGGTTGCATCATATGAACATTTAAATAGTTTGACTTATCTTTATTCTCGAACCATTCTTTTAACACATCAAAAGAATCTGTCTTAAAATAACCAGATTTAGGAATACCATTTTCGAGTGGAGTCGCGAATCCACCAAATGTGTTAGTAGCAGCATTATAACTAACTTTCTTTACGAGTAGCGGCGGATCCAGGATTTTTCAGTATGCTAGATTTCACCTTCAGACTATGGGACCCAGATGAAATTTATAGAGGTATGATATTGGAATCAAATGATGAGT